ACCATGAACCCATCGCATTCCGTTAGTATTTTACTTCAATAAAGAGAGCTCCGGTTATATTACACACAGAAACGAAAATATTGTCTATTGTGTCATGGAATAGTGTCGAGGTGTAATTCATTACTTACATCTGTCTCTTACTCGGCCGGGCTACGCGAATATCGATTTGTACGAAATCAGGAAAACATCGGGACGGTGTTAAACCAGCGCCGTTAATAAAAGAGGGAAAGAGGCTTTTAAACGAGGGGATGAAAGAGCGATCTGTTATTATTACGAAAGTCGTGAATAATCGAAGATTCCTTGTCTGCGGTTTCCAAGAGTCCAGTGGAATTTATATGAAAACTTTATTCAACCGTAAATGAGATTAACATTGTGCGACGTTTTTAACATATTTTTATATGTATATATAATATGTATATGTTATGTATACGTATGTACATAGAACAGACAGTGACTATATCGTCGAACACATCACATTAAATAACCCATCGCTTCAACTTACATAAATCAAAGGATCCCGTCGAATGGTGTGTACAATACTCGATGAAATGTTACCGTTTGTAATCGATCGGAGTAATCGAGATCGATGCAGGTATATGTTATACGAAGGGATTCCTCGGCGTGTATAATCTTCGACGCACACCGCGCGAGCATTTCGTTTGCTCGCGTCGAAATCCGGCCACACTGACTTGATAATAATATAACCGTTGGGTTTATTATTTGCAGAAACTGGATTATCCTCGTTGGCAGTGTGTACGGATACGTGAAACAGCTGTCTACCTAGGAAATAGTGGATTAGCTTGGAGAACATGCGGCAATACTAACGCTGCGAAACACATTATGGTCCAGGATGATCACCTTGCGTACCTCGCGAGCGATTCACGGAGCCACGCTGCTCTATATAAATGATTTACCATATAATTTATAGATCGACGAACAACCGACATAGAAAATATATGTACAATAAAATTTCACGCGATCGAACGATTCGATATGGAAAACGGAAGATCGATGCGCGATTGGCACAGTCGAGCTTGGTTTTTAACAGGGGAGGCAGTGAGAAGGGAAGGGGTTTGGTAAACTTTCTCTAACGCGATACGCTAAACACGACAACAGTTTTATTTTACTCGTCGATCACGAGTTTCCAACGACAAATTGGCTAAAAAACGCGAAACACGATCGCGTCAACAACTTCGGATATACTTTTTGCAACGATTCTCCATCGGTCGTTAATCGCCGCGCCGCTTCCCTACACGGCGAGTAACACCTGAGCACGGTCATTTCATGGACGTCAGATAGAACTAATTTAGACATTATGAGCAAGATCGTCTGTGCGGAGCAAGGCAGTAGAAGATAATGTCGTTAGGCTGTGTTGCATTACGCCGGGATTATCACGATTAATTACACGCACCTGTACATATAGGCCGAATATGCAATATTCCACTATGTCTCGGCAAATTTGCCCCTTTTGCCCCAGCTTGACGATCGAACTTTCTCTCGTCGATTTTCGACGACCTTCACACACGTAGTGGTAGAACGTGGGGCGACGATTGGCTCTTGGTCTCTCGTTCTTTGTCTCTTTTCTCTCTTTTTCTTTCTTTCTTGCCAAGTGTTTGCTGAAACGTGTTCGTTTGAAACGCGAACGAATGAGCGAAACCGCCGACGATCTCTCGTCGCTGGCATTAACGTGACGTAAATTTCACGAGCGGCGAACGAGAGAGACGAGGACACAGAACACAGAACAAAGTTGTCGCTACCAGGTCTACACAGGGTCGGAAAGTTTGGCCGGGGAAAATGCGTCGGATCGCGACAGGATTATCGCCGTTAATCGTGCCACTCGTCGCAGTACAGATTACACAATTACACTTCTACGATCGCGATGGTAACACACAGCTTACACATTTACACACATATCACAACGGGTTAACAGACGGTGTGTAGAGAGCAAAGGGGGTTGAGCTCGCGCGCGATATACCAACTTTTGAGCAAACACGTGTGTATGTACGGTGACACTGGTTGAAACGTTGAAACTGGCGTTCGCCCTATAACGCCCTAGAGCGTAAGGAATCTTTCCGTCTCGTGCGACGATGCTTCGTTATTCACGCGATACAACGAATACGTGAGCGTCGTTCGAAGTAGCTGTCGGCTACATGCACGGTCGTTAACGATACACGGCTAGACTCGCCGTGTTCGAATGTTTTACACAGACGTTATTCTCGTTACACGCTTTTGTCTCACTTCTTCGTACACACGAGCGACAGACACGCAGAAGACACGCACACGTCCATCTTCCACTCTCGACTATTCGATTTCGATCCCTTAAGGATTACGTTAATACGCGTATATCACGACAACGCCGCTCACCTTTCGAAGATCAAAGTCTGCCTGATTTCGGGTCCGGCCAGGGTCTCTCGAGGATGCGATCTCGCTGGGACAAACTGCACCGTCCTTTCTGCAACGTCCTCTAAAGTACGATCGAAGCGTGCTGCTTGGACGACATTTATTCTCGTTTGCGAGCTGCAAGCTGCGGTTACACCGCTTTGTCCCCTTCATCTTCGAAGAAGAGGGATCGCGACGTTCATTTTTCTACATTTCGAGCGGCCGAGGCGACGCGACGCGACACGGCGGTCAGTTCGTGACAGTGGAATGCAGCACCAGCTTCAACGTGGTGAACATCATCAATAGCGCGCTGCAGGCCATGACAGATGGCGAGGACGCGATACTGTGCTGCATCGCCGCTGGATTATCTCCTTTGAACACGTTCACCAACACCCGCGCCGGTTGCGCGTTACTCGCCTCGCAGGTGTAATTTCCGGAATGACGATCAGACGCATGGGGCACTTCCAGCCAGCTCTCACGGCCCGCCAGATCGGTGCTGACATTGACCCCCTGATCGATGTCGTAGTTGATCATCCGGAAGTTATGGTACCAGAATAGATAGGAAGGCGTCTCGGTCGATTTTTTCACGAGGCAGTGAAGCTGCAGGGTGCTACCTGGCCTCACGAACTTTTCCGAGGCACCGGCTATCTCTGCTCTGGCCTCTGCAAATGGCAGAACGTGACGCGTCAGACGTGAGCAGCTTACCGTTCTATCCCATATTGTTTACTAGGATCCAAGGCGGTTATGAGCAGGGTAGGAAGGATGAGGTATGCATCGTGGTTGGTTAAGGGTTGTACGGGGATAGCGTGCGAAATCCTACTCACCCTCTCACCTTCTCACCCTCTCTCTCTCTCTCTCTCTCTCTCTCTCTCT